CGTATCGACCGAAATTAAGAAATATATCGTGATATCAATTTTGGCCATATCGTCCAGCCCTACTTAAACCGCATAAACACATTTCATCACACCAAATACACAAAATAAATGTTCTTTTTAGCAACATCATATGACCCCTTTAACGGTTCTGTCTAAATACGGATATAATTTAGTAAAATTAATTTAGTAAAATTCGGATAGAAAAGCAAATACGCATTTATATCATTTAAACAAATCTTTGAATGTCTAATAAATATCTAATTTCAAAAACCTTGCAAACTTAGTCGGATCCAGTTGTGAGCTCTTGTGAAATGTGCATGTGACCTGCATGATCGCGTGTTCTCTGTGTGACTTTCAGTCTGTGCCAATTGAATGTGGATAGGAGGAGAGTTCAGCTTCACTGGAGACGCGCGATATGAAATGCATGTGACCTGCATGATCGTGTGTTCTGTGACGGTCGGTCCGTGTGAATTGAATGCTTTAAACTCGTGAATTCAAATTATGCTGCACTTTTTGCATTTGCCCACTGTCATATTCATGTCATTTTCACTGTGTGCTGTATGTAAAATGAGTGTTACCTTGGCTTTATTTGAAAAAATATGATTAATGCACACAAACTTCCCAGAATACTGAGTGCCCAGTTGGTTACAGTGTTTACTTCCTTTTTAATTATATTTTTATTAAATATTTATTTGTGATAAATACTTTTTCATCTAAAAAATATGTTTATTTAACACATTTATTTTTTGTATCAATTTTCAAATGATTTCAAATTTCTTAAATATTAATTAAAATAAATAAAATTATATCGGTTTTATATCGGCCACCCTGCTTTCCAAGATATCGGCATCGGCTGTCAAAAAAACAATATCGGTCGACCACTAAAAGGCACCAAAATCAAAAGTGCATTATGGGTGTTGAAGTCCACAAAAGTCCGTTTTCTCTAGTCACGTAGAACTGATTTAAAAAAAAAAAAAATTATATTCTTACATTGGCCCACATCTGCAGGGTGGGAGGGTCAATCTTATAGAGCTGGTTGAAGTTGCAATAGACAATAGAGTCTTCAGGGAGGCCATATTGCGAGCGGGTGGTCACCACGATTGTTCTGGGAACTTCTTCTCCTGTTGCTGCTTTGTTGTTAATCTAAACAGAAAGATTTAAGAACAGATGAGTTAACAGTTTAGGTACTGAAAAGACAAGCATGTGCCCTATAACGGTGTCGCCCATCCCTAGAAGCCTTTCAACTTCTCCGCCACCATGTTTGTGCCACCTACAGCAGTGGTGTGAAGGCCCAAGTGTAGGGAAAAATGGCTATTGCACATCCTGTCTCAAAGCATGCTGTTCTCATCCAGCTTATGTGTGCCATACCTGCAAGGCTACAGTCCCAGATACTATAACCTCCTCCACTGTAAAAATCTGAAAAACAACAACATGTGGTAATACACTGGCTCTGCCTACTATAAAATTGTCTTTTTGCCAGATTTTCAAGATGATCGAAGGAGGAAACTGAGGTCATCAGAATAATTTTCCACCACCAGTCTGAGAGAAATTAAGTCTCTCATGTGCAAATACAAATGGCACAAGAGCAAATACAGCCATGTTCCGATAAAAACACCTTCACGCCACTAAATCTCGATAAAGAATTACATGTTGTCGATTTGGGCATGACAGAGGTGTCACTGACCACAGAAGAAAATACTCAGAATTTGATCATTAATCAGAAACTGATATTGTGAGTGTGATTCACGTAAACACTTAAACCTAATATTCCAGTTAACAAACACTTAACCAATTATTCAATGGAATATTCATTTATATATGCACTCGTCCAAACAAAATTAAAAGAAATGCAAAACAGCGTGCATGTAACTCTCTTTCTCAGAATGAAGGCTTAACCAGAAAAATGATATGCATGTAAATGTGGTCAACTATCCACCGATCTGTCATGCTAAGAAGGATGGACGGGACTAAATCCCAGTCTGAGAGCAAGCCAAGACACCACAGCCAGGGAGAACCCGATTTTCAAAGCAGTCAAGTTAGTGAAATTGCAGTGAAATCAGCCAAGTGAAGTCCAGTGACTGAGGGCCTACGATGGGCCGTACCTGAGTGGTGGCCAGGCCGTTGCTGACCGTAAAGCCGTTGATGGTGACCTGGATCTGGCCCTGGTTGATCATGTTAATGATGGCCTCAGCGGCTGTGTTCATAGGGATGACGGGCATGGAGAGGGCACCGTTACTGTCAGTGGACTCTTGACCATCACATTCCATCTGAAAGTAGGAGAATAATGAGAAAGAAACATTAGCATGTCTGTTTAACAGGGTAATGGAATGCACTAAAGCAGTGATTTCTTCACTAACCTTCACAATTTTGATGTCTGGCAGGCTTTCCAAGAAGGCTTTCAGATCAATGCCATTCAGTACAATGCGATTGTCAAAAATATGGCCATTTGACTTGAAGTCTATCACCGCTTTTTTCTATTGGGTAAAAAGAAACACATGAGCCTGTTTCTCTGTAAAAGATTTTTTTTTTTTTTTTTTTAAGTGATTAGAGACTGAATCTTACCTTGAGGTGAGGGAACATATTGGCATGATCTCCAATGAAGAAAGTGTTCGGCATGTAGGCTATTTTCTCAGAGTACTGCTCTGCAACCTCAAAAGGAGACGTCTCCTTATCAGTGATAATGTAGTCCATGAACGGAGCTCCACTGGTGCCTGGGTATCCAAGCCACATGGCCTAGGGTAGATTGGAAAAAGTAACTTATTATTCAATTAGATCTTTATATATTATCTGAAGTGTATGCAACCATTTAAAAATTGGGGTTCAGTAATATAATTTTTTATTTAAGAAATTACTCATTTTATTCAGCAAATCACAAAAAAAAACAAAAAAAACATCTATGTTAGGGCTGTCAGAAAAAAATTTAGAATTTCGAATATTTGTCAAATTTAAAAATAAAAATCCACATTCGAATTTTAGGTGTGCGTTAAGGAGGCAGCCTTATCAGTGGCGCACGAGATGCGATGACGATGTAAGTGTTGTTGCATTATAATGTTTTTGTTAGTCTATCCAGTTGAAGCCACTGCTGCGTTGTTCATTAAAAATATTGCAGAAAAAGAGAACATCAATGCGGAGAAGATCTTGTTTATGTCAAAACTGAAACCAAGCCGTTCCCACAGAACGCATATTTCGTGCATTTTCTAGAAAGACATTGTCTATCACCGTTGCACTCGAAGCCATGTAAAATTAATGCAGGTTCAACTTTGAAAAAAAAAAAAACTTCGAGACTTTATGGCGGGTTTTTTCGCCCATCTCACTGCATCTGAAAAAAGTACTCTGTGTGATTGGCTTTCGGCGCTTTGTATTAAACTATGCATACATACATGATGCTGTTTTGTTTATAGTTGTTTAAGCAACTTAATTATAATTGGTTTATAAACATTATTTTAAACATTATGCACTTTTTTCACAGATAGTCATGTTATCTTATGCTTTGAATAAACGTGCATTAGTAATATTTTGCTCGATGCGCCCTCTTGTGGCCAAAAGCTTTTTTCTATAATTTGAATATTGATAATATTTAAGTACAAAATTCTAATTCAGTTTTTCAGCCATTTTGACAGCCCTAACTTGAAACCAAATATTTCTTTAAAATAAATGCTGTTATTAATAATAATAACAACAACATGGCAACACTTTACAATAAGGTGTCATGTGTTAGCATTAATGTATTAACTAACATGAACAATACATTTATAACAGTATTTATTTATCTTTGTTAATGTTAGTTAAGAAAAATACAGTCATTCATTGTTTGTTCATGTTAGTTCACAGTGCATTAATAATGTTAACAAACACAACTTGTGATTTTAATAATGCATTAGTAAATGCTGAAATTAACATTAAGATCAATAAATGCTGCAGAAGTATTGTTTATTCTTAGTTCATGTTAACTAATAAAACTTATTTTAAAGTTACCAGTAACAATAGTAACATAACATATACATAACATAGTATAATAATAATATACGACGTAACTAAAAATAATAATAATAATAAATGTTTCTTGAGCAGCAAATCAGCATATTAGAATGATTTCTGAAGAATCATGTGACACTGAAGACTCGAGTAATGATGCTGAAAATTCAGCTTTACATAACAGGAATAAATTATTATTATTATTTATTAAGTTCCTAAACATGGCCCACTTCTCTCCTTCAATGCAAGTCTACACCTGTTTTATCACACACCCAACTATATAACATAAAATGAACATTTTAATGCAGATCTCATTCTTTGTAGTGGCTTCCACTAAGTCGCTAGTATTGGTAATAGGAGCGAGCAAGTAATTGTCGCGTAAAAATAAGTCCATGCAAAACCGAAGTAAAATGCAAACAGTGTCTTTCTTTATTGTGCTCCAATGAATAATCATTGCTTCCAATTAGCTTTCTGTGGTGTCATTTTGTCTAGTTCACAGAATACGAAAGTCCATACCTTGTAGACACAACATACTGTTCAACTTAGTCCAAACACATAATCCAATAATTTGGCATGATGAAGCACGATCCAAACCAGTCCAAAACGGTCAAAAACTGTGCGCTTCCCTACTACCAATACACACCTGTTGTCTCATTAACCAATTGCCCTAATATACTATTTCCAGTGCGCCACCTAATGGACAAACACATAATTGCATTAAAATGGCTCATACATTCTTTAAAGGTGCAGTGTGTAATATTTAGGAGGATCTATTGACAGAAATGCAATATAATATAACACAACTATGTTTTCAGAGGTGTATAAAGACCTTACATAATGAACCATTATATTTTTATTAACTTAGAATGAGCAATTTATAGAGATCGACCGATATATCGTTTTTACCGATATTTTTCCCGATATTTAAGCATTTTACCATAATCGGATATCGGTTTTGTAATATCGGATTCACCGATAAACGCCGCCATCTTGTGGGTGTTTTGAGAATTGCGTGCAGGATTGCTATTGCGGCGCGTCTGAGGGGAGAGGAGACAACAACAACGGCATGGTGCAGGTACTTGATTTGCTGTAGTTAGTAAACTTTATTTAACATAACAGCCATTTATGCACAAATTAGATGCATTACATAAATGCCTGATATGTAGTTTATGCAGCTTAGCTCTAAGAAATAGAGAACAACTCACGGAGTCATGTAAGATAATCCATCCCTGTCCCAATAAAGATGTAACTTTGCCTGAATTAAATATCCAGCCATGAATGAGCGCATGTTGGAAATAAAAGCGCTGAATTTAATTCTCTCTCTGTTGTATATTTGCTCATCATTAGTCTCGTGAAGCCGCTTTCATATTGCTGTTCACTCACCGGGTTGATGCTCAGGAAATGCTCCAGCACGGCCACCGCATGTAACTTTTAACAAGATTCACTTGTTTAAAACACCCTAAATTGTATTAACATTTACTATATAACCAATATTTCGCTAATAAACATCTAAATAAATACATCTCTATGGAAATGAATTATTTATTATCT